TGATAAGATCAAATTTTACTGTCTCTGTTTCTCCAGAGAGGGAGAATAATCTACATTTATTCATGCTGATCGTCGAAGTTTCGATACAATATGTTCTTAAACAAATGAAATTACCGTAAGCAATCATCCATAAAACTCGATGTATGTATATTCCAATAACAATAGATAGAACATAATCGAATACATCTGTACCATCATTCACATGTATTAACAAAAAAAATTCTGATCATCATTTGGATATTTTGTACAAAAATTTATTTTGATCGATGACAACACTATTGATTAGCAAATAGAGAGACGATAAATCAGTCATAAGTGTATCTTCTATTAAGACGATGAAAAGTTCTTTAAGTTTTTATTTTTCAACGCATTTGTCCAACTTTTAGAATAATAAGAAGAAAAAAAAAGAGAAAAAAATTTAAAAATAATATAAACATCGACAATTTCTAATTAATACTTTCAATTTGTCCAAATAGTAAAAATATTTATTTATTTATCTATCTATGAAGAGCAAAATCAAGTAGTTTTGTGAATTTGATAGAAAAGAGTATCTTTCACCACTTTACCGTCTAAAATTAATTTTGTATTATATACAATAGAAAAGGGTGTCCTCTCGATTCGTCCCCAAATTGGCTTTGTAGATCAAACAAGGTGACAATCCAAAAGTGAGAGTGAGCAATTAGGAACGAATCGAGAGTAAACCATAGAAAAGTTAGAAATGTTTCTAGATTGTAATTTGTTAGAGTTATACGGAACAAAAGACAGATGGTAAACGTTCTGTTGATTAAATGGAATGAGAAATGCTATGAGCCTAGACGCAGATTTTTCAATATTTCAAGACATGTGCACAATTCGAAAGAAGAAGAGATAAACTCTTTTTATTTAAGTATCCTGAAATAGATACATTTTTCTATGATCATGTGCATTCTTTTATTCTCATTCTCTATTTATTTTAAAACTATTTTCACGAATTTTTTACTAAATGAGTACCGAATTACAAGAAGAAGGAAAAATCATACCACAGTTCATTAATACATGACTTTATAGTGAAACAGACACTCTACATTTCTAATAGTTTAAACGATTTTTGACTTTGAAGATTCGTGATAAAGTTTGAAAACGATAAAAGACTAGACTGTTCACATTTCTCAATTGATCAACGCCAAAAGTTCTTTTGTTTACAGATTATCGGGCAAGACAAAATTCCTATAACTTGAAATTAAAGATTCAATCATTTCTTACTTTATCAATGAAATTTTCTATGAGCTATCTTTGAACTGTTGTATTCATATATTTTTGAATTATTTTCATTCACTTGACTTTCACCTTTATGTCAGCATGAAAATTGATTAGATCTAATAAAGTTTTATGTTCAATATTCTTCTTTTTTTCTTTTATTTTTTTTTACTTAATATGTAGTGTATTAGTACAATTGACTTAAGATGTTGCATTTTACCAGAGAAAAACGATACTACTTACTATGCTAAATGAAATTTAAATGATGAATTGTACAACACTTAGTCCGCCTTTTTCATTATTAAAAAACTAGAAAGAAAATTTTCTTTTCTCTATTTCTCTCTTCAAATGTTTTGTTTTATGTCTTGGTAGAGGCATAAAAAAAAAGAAAAAATATATTCAGTTTTTTTCGTTTCTTTTTCTTTTTATCGTTCTTTTGTTGTACTAATAGGTTGATATGTAATACATACTAAGATGTGAATAACTAAAAATCATTATAACAATCTCTGGAGAGTATTTAACATATATATATATAGAAGCAGATCCTCAATTTTATTGAGTTTAAAAGTCATCTTTGTTTCTTTCTATTCTTCATATTCTTCAGATATTTTGTAATTCTATATGGAGTCCGTTTTCATCAAAATTTGAACGAATATTCGTATAGTAACAATACTATTATAACGACAGGATCTCAGATACAATCTTGTAATAAACTAACAGTTCCTGTTCAATCAGGTCACAAATCTTATCGTAAAACAAATTTATTTTGACTAGGACATCAGTTATTTATAGTATAGGATTCTGAAAATACTCTTTACTGATAACAAAAAATAAAGAGTTTACTTTTTTTTTGTTGTTAAATAACTTTTGACAGAACATGAGATAGAATCTAAAATCCTATCCTATTTCGTTTAATTTGACCCTATTTTACTTACATATCTTTTAATATATAAAAATCTATGATAAGTTTCATTTGTCAGTATTTTTTAAATCAAGTTAACACTTAATTTGAACTATTGTTCTTTCACAGACATTATTTTCTTTATAAATATAACGGCACGACTCGATCAATAAAATAATACTTTTAGTTCATCTTATTTTCGTCTCCCTATTTAACAAATGAACTGCACGTCAATCTTCTAAGGTTTCATCATTAAGTTCATAAAAAAAAAAAAAACGATCTCTTTAGTCGTCTTAGTCAAGGAAATAATAACTCTTCAACATTAAGTTTCTACTCTCAATAACAAAAGATTTTTTTTTTTCATAGAGTTATTTTTCTAACTTATTGTATCAAGTAGAACGTATAAAAACAACAACAATAAAAGAAAAGAACGATAATTTGACTCTGTAAATCATAGATAAGTTAGTAAAAATCTTTATGATAAAATATTTTTGAATTAAAACAACAGTAAATATATTTGAAAAAATTAAAAACACAAAAATTTAATACATAAATTGTGTTAGAAAACAAAAAAATATTATACAAGATAATTGATTTTTGAATGATATTAAACTAAGTGTAAGAAAAAGAATTATTAAGTTTAATCAGTAAACAACAACAGTTAGGGAGAAGTTGTAAGAGTATTAAAGTAAAGAAAATATTGTTTCAGAGTTCATAGTCATTTTAAAAATCAATTCTATTTTAAGATGTAGTATACAATCATTTTTTTTATTGTCAAACTATGTCAATCTATTCTAAAAGAAAGAAGTTAAATTAGTTAATATACAAAAGTTCATTGCTTTTATAAATTGCTTTTATATTCACATCATTTAAGTAAATAGTAAAAAGTTGATTTGTTACTTAATAATAGTGGCATCATCAACTATTTACTACTATTTCCACTAACGAGACAAAAGAAAAGTAATTGTTCAAAAGAAATAGCAATTTTTTTTCCTCTTCTTTTTCCCATTTCTTTTTTTTTTTCAATCAAGTGATTTTGATGACTTTCTATTCTAATCAATGCAAATAATAGAAAAAAAAAAAGAAAAGAAAATCAAATGATAATAATAGTAGTCGTAGTCGTAGTCTAATAATTATATATGCGCGCAAGAGAAAACGATATAATCCTGAATTAATCGGTTCTAGAAAGATTTCTTTTTTTTTATTATTATTAAAGACAAAATAGATTCAAATTAAACGTATATTCAATGAACGACTAAATCACATGTCACAGTACTTTAGAGCAATAGTGACATTGAAATAGATAGAGTAAAATATTTGAAAGTATTATTATAAACATTAATTAGAACCACTTCATAGGATCTCTTTGCTATTGTTCGATATCATGATTTCTTTCAAGCAGCTAGTTTATACCATCCTAGACAAAATTCTACACATTTTCTATCTATTTTCTATTAAGGATTCTAACATTTAAAAACTTCGTTAATAGTTGTCTAGCAGGATCTTAAATGTTAGAATTCGAATAGAATTTCGTTTAGGATTTTCAGAATGCTAACAGAATTTGACAATTTTTGAGTATCCCTGATTTCAATAGGATTTTTGTCAGAATATAAAAACTCTCTAAGCGAAATCCTAGTATGATTCTGATAAAATAGGTCTAGGATTCCCTCGAGATATTCATTGATTTCTTACTCGGATAATGAGAATTTATAATGAATTATCCTTTTTTGGAACTATTCCTTGAAGTGTACTGTCTAACAAAAAACACGTTTCATGCGAAACCTTTTTCTGCTGAAGACTTTAGAAACGGTTGCACTTCTCTAAACCCTATGATACCCCAAACCATTTTTGATTTCGTTGTAGCTACGACACTCTTTATATGATTTTGTCGTTGGAAAACAGTTTCGTGGAAACGTACGAAACCTTTCAAGGGTTTTGTACAAAACCATACCGACCAATCAAAAATTTGGTGACTCATACGGTTTCATATGAAATCTCTGAAGAACTTTGTATCAAATCAATGAGAGTTTGATACGTTACCACGAAACCGTTTTCCAACGACAAAATCATATAAAGAGTGTCGTAGCTACAACGAAATCAAAAATGGTTTGAGGAACCATAGGGTTTAGAGAAGTACAACTGTTTCTAAATCCTTCAGCAGAAAAAGGTTTCGTGTGAAATGTATTTTTTCTAGAGAGTAGTCATTTGACTTCTATATGCTATGTTTATCATTAATGCATATTTTTTCTCTTTTTATTTACAGAGTCATGCCAGTTACTGCGCATCCTGCCTTCAATAAGGTAAATTATTTATCAGATCTATAAAATTGTTTTCTTTCATTTTATATTTGTTATTTTTTTAGGCTTGTTCATATTTTAAAATAAAAATGAGACGCATTCCGATTGATCCCAAAACATTAAAAGTTGATATTGTTCAAATGAGACGTGCCATAACAAAAAATACTTGTATGGTAAGTAAATTTTTATATTAATATCCATAATTTGTCAATTTAAAAATGAAAAAAATTCTTTTTTATTTAGCTTGTAGGATCAGCTCCCGGATTTCCATATGGTACAATAGATCCTCTTGAAGAAATATCAGAAGTATGTGTAATTTGAATTGTATAATATCAAAATCTAATAAAAATTGTTTTATTTTGTGTTTAGCTTGCTGTTCAATATAAAGTTCCATTTCATGTTGATGCATGTCTTGGTGGTTTCTTAATTGCATTTATGGACGAAGCTGGTTACGAACTAAGACCATTTGATTTTCGTTTAAAGGGTGTGACAAGTATGAGTTGTGATACACATAAGGTTTCTATCTCTTACTTCATAGACTTGAATGTATGACTAAATTTTATTTTTCTATTTTGTTTTTTTAGTATGGTTTTACACTCAAAGGAACTTCAGTAATTTTGTATCGTGATTCAAACATACGATCTCATCAATTTTTTGCTGTTGCCGATTGGCCAGGTATTTAATTTAATTATTATTATTATTCTATATTCTATTAAATTTTGTTTTGTTTTTTATAGGTGGAATATATATTTCACCAAGTGTAGCTGGAAGTCGCTCTGGTTTTCTCATTGCTTGTTGTTGGGCAACGATGATGTATTATGGACATACAGGCTATGTCAAAGAAACAAAAAAGATTATTGAAGCATCAAGAGCCATTGCTGATGGGTAAATATATATCATACTAGTTTCGAATATGAATCAATTAATATTCTCCATTTTAGATGGAGTAACATCGAGGGCTTGTATTTAGTAGGTGAACCACAAGTTAGTGTGGTGGCTGTTGGATCAAAACGTTTTAATATATATTATTTACTGGATGCACTACAGAATCTAGGATGGCATTTAAACGGATGTCAAAATCCAGCCGCGTAAGTTTATTTGCAATTTGATTTTGTATATACAAATGTAAGATCTATTCAAATACCATTCACAACGATCTTAACAAAATCAAAATGATGTTTTTTTTTCATTATTTACATGTTTATTTATTTGTTTAGAATACATATTGCTGTTACTCAGTTGCATACGTTACCAAATGTGATTGAAAAATTAATCAGTGATACAAAAGAAAGTGTAAACAAAATATTATCAGAAAATATGAAAAATGATACGCCTACAGTAAGTATTTATTAGAGATATTTATTAACAATATGTATCTTTTTTAACTAAATTTTGGATATCTAATAAATAAAATTTTTATTCACATTTTTCTTAGGCAGTTATCTATGGTACAAATCAAAAATTACCAGACAAATCAATTGTGTGCGAGATGGCTAAACTTTATATAAATGCATGCTACGATACTAATTTAAGTACAACTCAAATTCAACATTAATTATTCGTATATGTAATCTTTATCGTTATCTTTAATATTTTTGTATGAGTAACATCTATTTTTTGTTTATCTTTCTTAATTTTTATATTTTAATGAGGCCAAAACGATCGAACATGTATAGTTACATATTCATTATCATTTCAGTATTTATTGCTACCTGTTGTCATTGTTAAAATATTCCACTATGGTTGTTGTTTTTGTACATCGTCTTTTTTTAATTTTAAAATAAAAGTATTTTTATTTTGGATTAATGAAGGATGATATCTGTTGTAGAACTACAATGTTTTATATAAATAAAATTTTTTAAAATAGTAACAAAAAGAAAATGAAAGTGTCATCTATCATCAATCAATTTTTTATACTTTTGTCTAGTATATAGTTTTATACTCTTGTTTCGTACTAATTTGAACAATATTACTGATTTTCTCATCAATTAGATCATGTTTGACATACATCTAGATAGATAATTGCTAAACAGCATACGATTATCACTGCTACTGTAAGATGTTAAAAACTACCGCCCAAACAGATAGCATATGATGTTATAATATAACAGATGTGAAGAATATCAAACTAAAAAGCTAAAACAAACAACACATGACGAATTTTTTCACTGTAACTAAAAATAGAATACTCGAATGGGATTAAGAAAAATACCGTTATACAGTGAAGCTATCTCTTAAAAAATTTGACTATTATGTTCCTGTTTTGTCCCTTCCAAATGTTTCTATTCGTCATAAATATTCCCGAATTGCTCAATTTTTTAAAATTTATCGTCATCTCCGCGCTCTTTCTATTTCTTATTTATTTCAACATCCTTACTATTCTTTTTTAGGATGTCATCATTCCATTTCTAGCTTTTTTATTTATTTAATTTTTAGTTTAGTTCGTTAGTATAGTAGAGTGCTAGTATAATAGTACTATTTCATTAGCATCGTTTGTCCACTTCTATTTATCCACGTTTATTGTTTTGCAAGGGGCATCGTGTTACAGGATCTTTGTAACGCTCTCTCACTTTACCGTTACGTGGATAAATTTATTCATTCATTCATTCTAAAAAATATTAGATCGTACCGCGGTTACATTAGAAAAAGATTTGTAATAGCAGTATTACAATATTTGTGTACAAAGACACTCAGTAGCAATAAAACTAAGTCTAAATATGAGAATTAGTATATAAAATAATTAAATAAATAAGCATTCTACATGGAATTTGAAAAATTTGAAGCACATTATCATAAATATTATTGTAATAGAGCAAATATGGATTAGTACTTAATAGAGTAAGATAGGACTAGTATTTTCTTTTCATGTTGCGAATAAAAAATGGAATTTTTCTTTGCATTTGTTTTGATAAACACTTTTATTGCACACATCCATGATTACACCGGTAGGAAAACGCCGAAGAATACGACATCTTTCAATACATGTTGATTTTTCCGTTTATTTTTAGTAAACACCAATAAAAAAGTACATACAGTCGTGAAACCTTATATTCGGCTAAAAGAAGTTAGATTTTGCTTTGTTGAGATAAACTATAATAAAGTCTATGACTATATATTCATACGTAGGATTATCTCGGTTAACCTCCGGCGAGCAACTGGAATAAAAACGCTCCGCTCTCTACATTATATCTTGCTTGAAGAAAATACACAGGATGAGAAGATATTTCCCTATTTCCTTCGTCTTTTCCTTTTGAAATACAAGAGCCAGAACTAGCCGAGGTCATGAATGTCTACATGAGTCATGACAACAGGAAAATAACCCAATCAGGAACCGTTATAGAATAGAGTCTGTCATTTTTTCAGCATGGCGATCTTTTGCTTGTAGCGATGTTTTAGTGGTATCTCGTTCTAACCTAGTTTTTTTTATTCTTTCTCTCTCATTGAATTATCTCTGTACAAGCACGTAGGTGAATAGTGGTTTGCGCTTCACACAGTCCTTCTCTCTTTCGATGTTTATACTTCCTAAAATCTTTCTAGTAAAACGTTTGAGTTAACTAGTCTATACTTGAAATATTTCTTTTAAACAATAATAATCTTGATAACTTCTTTGTTTCTTACCAGATTGTTTTTGCAGATCAATATTGTTACGATTTATTACATATTTTTAAGAAGACACGTTTTATTTCGTGTTTTCTTTGTTTGATCATGTCATCATCGTTCCTAACTGACTCAAAACCACCATTAGGAACGGATGATTTACTATTTTCTGCCAGTAATCAAGATTTATTATTATCTCATAGTGGTGATGCTGGAGAGGAAATTGATGATTTGAACGATGAAACATTTGGTGAATCAGTAGAAAAAATAAAAATAAAATCTGATTTTGGTGAAAATGGTGAATTTATTGAAGATTATCCATTGCAAGAAGAGGAAACAAATATTGATGATCAAATGCCATCTATTGATGCTCTGGTTGGCGATGACTCAGCATCAAATTTATCAACATCACTGGGCCGTTTAACAACAAACTATATGGAGCAACAAAATCCATTTACACATCAACAACAAAGCCCGCTAAATCCATTTTTTAGTGATACAACACAGGGTTTATTTGAACAACGAGCAAGTCCTTTACTACCAGCATCGACCTTAGATGTTAACAATTTTATTCGTCCGTTACCTCAACAACAACAACAACAACAACAAAAGTCGTTCCGTCCCACGCCACAGATGCCATTTTCTACCCAGCATATTCAAATATTAAAACAATTCGAACAAACGTTGATTTCGATTGATACACCTGTAAATGAGCGATTAATGTTAATGAAACAAATGATGGACAAAATACAAAGGGGTACATTAATGCAGCAACAGCAAACAGGAAGAGTAAGTCATTAATGCGTAATAAATTTTTGATTGATCTATTTTGACGCTTCTATTTCTTCATGTTTATTGTAGACGGTAGCTAACGGTAACAACATTCACTATTCTCAACATCAACGTTCACCAAACTGGATGGATTCAACAAATCAACAACAACGACAACATCAACTTCCTCCATCAAAACCAACACCTCGTATGTTTCGTGCTGAAGATCTTGAACGTGAAATGGTCGCTCAGGCCTCCTCGACTAATAATGATGACAAACAACAACATTCACATTTGTTAACAAATGGTGTCGGCGCCGATATACAACCACAATTAATGCCCTTTCATCGTCCTCAAATATCATCGCCTGTATTTGATCTACCATATCGTCCCTTTGCTGCACCACCACGACACTCAAATATGACAAATGTTAGCATGTCACATCAAATGATGGCTGCTATTCAACGATCTAATCAAATTCCAATTCAACAGCAACCCCACGTACCACCAGGTCCAATTCAACGTCCATCTTCGACAGGTACAAGTCCTATTGAAGCTGTGCAACGTTCACGTACAGATTCAGACAGAAGTCAACAGCAACCACCATCTCATCAACATGTCTATCCTCCACAGTCTCATAATAAACCGCAACGTTTATACCCGCGTCCACCACGATTAATTTCCTGGCGAAATCAAGATGATTATGCTGGTCTAATGAATGATCGTGAAAAACAATGGGTAGTTAAAATACAACTGTTACAAGTGACACCACAATCGACAGACGATGATTATTACTATCATAAATGGTCGCAAAATAAAAAACAGACACAAGGTATTCAAGGAAAACAACAGCAGCAACAGCAATTTCCTTTACATCAGCAACAAATTTCTCAACCGGTAGCTGCATTATTAAGATCGTTAACATCAAATGCTCAAGATGATCAAAGATCCTCACAACAACAATTCTTTGGTGCTCAACAACCTGGAAGCACAGCCGCACATCATTCTCTAGGAAAAGTATCAACACTAACGGCAAAACATCCAAGATATGTTATCGATTTAGAAGGTAAGAATTTAAAATTTTGTCTCTACAAAAATACTTTTACCTTAAATTTAATTTTATAGCGAATTGTTACTCTTCTATAAAAAATAAAGTTTACATTACTCACTACCTTTTTTTTGTTCAGGTAATCGAACTATTGTTAAAACATCAAAATGTATAACACATGATAAATATGATCTGGGTGTCTTATTAAATATCGAAGATATTCACCATGATTTATTGAAATTAGATAGCAATGGTGGTGAAATTGTAGATAAACAAATGTTACAATCAATTTTAAAGCGTTATCTATTTAATGATAAATATTTATTTGGTGATATGTTTTTACATCGAAAAGGTCAAATTGTTCTCGAACGAATATATTTATTTGTCATGGCTAATGATATGAACATTGATTATTGTGAACATATTTTAGTTTCAATTTATTCATCATTATCTTATATGGTAACAAAAATGATAAGTTCAAATTTGGTATTTACCATTGAACATCTTAGTATGAATATGATTAGTTTAATGTTACAGCAAATGAAAAAATATACGTATGAACAATTTCTAGAGATGTTTTACAAATATTTCGATGAAAAAATAGTGGATAAACTAAAAGAGCCAAAAGAACATGATCAAACAAGTATGTCTAGAGGATTTCTTCGTTTGTACTTAACCGACAGTAGAATTTAGTGAAATATCTAAATATTATTGATGTCTCTTTTCAGATTTGTCGCCATCATCTAATACACTTACTCGTTCGCCATCTGGTCCGTTTAATGATATAGTTTTATTCTGTAATTCTTATTCGCTAACATTAATCATCGAATTGCTATTGAATATTGAGCGACGTTGCTTATCGTTAGCATCCACATCAGCATCAGCAGTAACTACTGGATTACCACAAGAACTACAATATCATAATCTCAGTGAACGTATTAATACCTTTGTCAGAGAATTATGTCAAACATTAGATCGTTGTCCCATAGCACAATTAAAAAAAATCTTAAAACCCTTCCAACAACAAAATACGGCACAATATGTTCAACTAATGCGTTTTATACAATTAAATTTATTTGATAGAAAAGATTTATTTCAACAAATTGAACCAAAATTAGCCTATTGTCTAACTAAAGTTGTGCAACAGTAAAAATAATCAGCTTTTTTTGTTTACAACCATATTCGACGGTGATCTATAACTGAAGCGCATTTTATTTATTAATATTCATTCAGTTTCTCTATCTCTTTCTTTTCACCTTCTTTTTCCTAGACTAATGACCTGATTTTTTGTTTGCTTGAAAGAAAATATTTGTTCTTACATGTTCAGACAGGAATAGCAAGCATATTAAGAGGTAATTATTATTAACAGTGTAGCTAATAATAAGACACACTGTCTTGTTGATCATCATTTTAGTTTCACAATATTGCAAAAAATAGATTTTTAAAAACATTTTTGATTTCAGTCAGAAATCTTTTTTTTTATAAACGAGAAAATCGCTCAAAATATAAACAACGGATAAAATTAGAATGTTTATCTCTTTTCCTAGTCGTATATTCTTTTCTCTAAAAGTGGAGACTATGTTTTATAAAAGCGTGCTAGATTGTTTTTTATTGTTGTTGTTACAACTGAAAAATGTAATTTTCTTTGTCTTCTTTTCTTTTTTTTTTGTTTGCGTGTAAATACGAGCAAGTGCTGATTTGTTGTTGATACTATTGTAGAAAAGATTTTTTTTAATGTTTATTTTTGAGTACACACAAGTGATAGAAAAATAAAGAAATAAAAAACAGATGTACAAATTCATTTGCCTGTTTTTTTTTTTATATATTATTACCATTTGTATGTCTGCCCAACATTTTAAACGAATGTTTGGGTATGTCTCCTTTTTTTTTCTTTTATCAGTTTATGTCGAGTTCCTATTATTTTCAAACATTGAAACTCATTTTTTATGTCAATCGTTTTCAAAGATGAGTGTGCATGCGTCTACATCTTGAAATGAAGAGTTGTGCATTTTGTCTTTTTTTATTCTAGCACACGCATAATGTAACACTACTATTTGCATCAAAAATCATGATGAAACTAAAGAACATGATGGAAGAAACAAAAAATAACATTACAAAGATTTTTAAAGTAAAATGATATTTTAACCTATTGCGTTGTTCTGTTTATTAATGAACAAAATGTACCAAAGTGGATCACAGGTGCTTATTTCTAAAAATCACTGAAAAGTACGCTTGTATTGTTTAAATCACGTCACAATACGATACGCGATACGTGAACTATCTTGTGAGCTACATGTGTCAGAAAGGATACGTAGCATCTGTCATTTCATCTACGTTATCATCAAAAACATTTTTCATCTCTTCTTACGATCGTAGGGGGTCCACACCAGGAATGCCAGATCGGAAAGATGAAATCAGAAAAAAATAAATAAAAATAAATTCAAAATCAGAACGTGTTTTTTTACATCAAAAGGCTTAATTCTACCTTCTTTTTTGAAATACTATATATTACATCTGTGTTCACGTACGATAAATGTTACTCCATTGGTAAAACTGGCGAAATAAATATGACAGCGACTTTCATTCTTACTGTAACTATGAATTTAAAAGGCTAGGCCCACATCGCAGCAAAAGTGAGTCCTCAGAACTAATGTAAGATGCGGTTGAGCCCTTTATTGAAAAGAAAAATAAATCAATTCTCACAAATAAAAGCTATTTATTAAACACAGTGGTAGTCTGATCGTCTTAAACTATTGCCCTTACGGTACGATACATAAGTTATGAGTTAAGTTTTAGTTCGATTGAAAACAAGAGCTTTAAAGTCAAAAAATATTCTGAAAATCAGAAGAACAGAAACGAGGCAGTAAAAGTCTCAGAATGAGAATTCAAAATAAAATAAAAACTGAAATTCTTGATTCAGATCCTACAGGAAAAAGAAAATATAAAAAGTCTTTAATTAATCTACGATGAAATAACATGTCTTAAATGTCTGAGTGATCGAGCGAACCTGTAATTTCGATATCGGATTAATAGCACCCAACGGTTGTATCAGATCGAGTACAGCTAACGTTGAACCTCCACAAATAGTATTTTACTACGAGTTTCTCCTTCAGTCCATAACAACGGTGGATTCTTTTGATATGCTAATATAAATGGAAAATTCTTAATTTCTTTTCTCCTTTTCTACGCTAATTTTTAACCAAGACCGGCTTCCAGAGGTGCAAAATCTACCCGTCAAACGTGGTTTATACGTGTTATGTTGAAGTTACAAAAAAATAAAAAATGGTGGAACATTTTCTGATATTTTCTACTGTTTTTTGTTGTAAATTAATTCCAGTCTTCGTTATTTTTACAAAATCATCGGGTCGTGTCAGACGAATCTTTCAACATACTTCACTAAATTAAACTACCTTAAGTATGAATCGTTTAACATAATTACCTCATGCCTCTAATCAATTAACCGATCATTCGTGTAATGTCACAAGTATTATATAAAATCCGCTATTAAATTTCAATTGTACTTGTTTACCTAAACGAAATCAATTGATTATTTTCAGCACTAATAATACGAAAAACAATAGAATTAATTGAGGTAATTGGCTTATTATCCACTGTTTCTTCCCCAACGAAAACAATAACTATCATCCTATCATCAACAATAATTGATTGGAATTGTTAGAAGTCGAGAACAATTTAGAAACAAAAAAAAAGAAAATTAGAAGAATTAATGTAATTAGTAGAACACTTGTTAGAATAAGTGCAAACATGTTTCCAATCATTGTCACTCGGAATATTATGTGAAGAAATAAACTATCAGAATATAAAAATGTCATGTAACACTTATATGTACAGTTATACATTTCTTTATGAAATATTAAGTTTTTGATATATTTGTTTGTTCAAATTGATGTAAAATTTTTGTAAAAATTTCTGTCCAATGTGATTTCAATTTTCGAGTCTAATAATTTAAACAGTCACACTATGACCTGATATTTAGAAATTTTACTATAAAAGTCATTCAGAAATCAATTAGAACTCTTTACATTGCTAGCATAGACAAACTGTTGGTTTTTCTTGCTATGTTTGGTTAGCTTTTGTATTATAATTCAATAAAAGAAGAATACAATATAAAATTTATGAACTTGGGTTTTTTTTAGATAAAATTCGAACGAATTATTTAACACGGTTCCAACATACATATATCTAGAGTAGATGGAAACAAATAAAAGAACACATTTTCTTAATACAAAAAAAGAAAAGAAAACAAAAGACAAAGAAAAAAATACACAAATATGCATATATATGTACAAATAACAACGATATGTGCGTATAACAAAAAAAAATTGTGAATGAATAAGGATGTATGATGACTGGGCTGACTATCTGACCTTTTATCATTAATTAAAGATATTATTTGTTAAATTAATCTTTCTTCTTGTGGTGGTTTCAAAATCATACTAAATTCTACTCTCGAACTATTATTCTCATGAATAGCCGGACGGTAAGTGCCACGTGATCGACGATTTTCACGAATGCGACGTATAGTTACAGTTAACAAAATAATGATCAGTAATAATAGTAGTGCAACACCGGGCCAAACAACGAGATGATAGGAAAAGCGAAATAAAAATTCCTAGAAAAAAAAAAAAAATTTTTACCTTGATATTAGTTGATTATCTTTCAAGCTGTAAATAGGGATGTGTCAACTGTTCGAGTTTGAGGAAGTTTGATACCGAACTATTGGACTTTCGAACTCGAACTAAGCTCGAATTTGGATTCGAGAATTCGACTCTGAATTACTGTCAATGGAGAATTACTATCAAGATTTACTAGACGCGGTTTGCAGAACATGTTTAAAAGTTTTTTTTGTTACTACAAGCCTTAGGTGATTATAATATTTCACTTTATGCTCTTAATTCTATGTTGCACAATGAATTACTGTTGCCAAGCATGTTACGTTATGCAGAGTGGATTCTGTACATCACTAACATCATCAAGTAATAGTGCTCAAGTTGAATGTGATTGTGAAATGCAGTGTGATCACGTAGACACGTTTCATTTGAAAAATAATTATATAAATATAACGGAAATAATTCCAATAAAAATCGAACCAAAATCTCCTATAAAAATTGTATACGATTATTTAACAATATTACCGAATACTGTTTTATTTTCTATCGGCAGTTCTGATTATTATTTAATACCGAACGTTCGACGTTTGAAGTTCGGATTTGACCACAATTCATGGTTGCTTTGTTTGAAAAACTTTGCTATTTCATTGTTTTTCGAGTCAAAGTGAAAGAAAAAACATTAATATGTACAGAACTAGGATTTAAAAGAAAAAATAATAATTGTCTGATCATATGGTATATAGCATAATATTGTGCTTTCTATTTGGTCTCGAACTCGAATGTTCGAACAATTTCGGAGTTCCAAGCTCGAACCCGAAGCGGAATCACTTAGAGGCGAACTCGAACGTTCGACTTCGTAACATGCCTAGCTGTAAAAAAAGCGCTTCTAAATTCTTACGAGTCTTAATACATTCTCTCATGTTTTTTTTGTGAAAAATATCGATGTAAAAGAATTAGTGTTTATCATAAAATAACGTAAGAACTTACTGATTTTATATTACACTGTTTTCCCGTATACGGATGTTGACATTTGCATTCATATTTCCCAATTGAATGCGTACAGGTTCCGTTATTGTAGCACGGATTACTTAAACATTCATCGATTTCAGTCCCACATATTGAATCCTCATATCCTAAAACACAAGAATCAGATTCGTATTTGCTACACACTAGTTATTTCCTTAATCTCATCTATCTTACCTGTATCGGTACAATTACATGAAAAACCTTTATCAATATCAGAAACACATGTTCCGTTGTGTTTACATGGCATTGCATTACATGTCAGCAATTCACATGTTGAACCTATAGAATTTCACACCTATTAGAGTTGAAAGGATATGTTATTTTATGTTCATACCTGTATAATTTGTTGAACACAAACAAAAAAAATTTTCGTTGAGTGGTTTGCAGGAACCAGAATTTTGACAAGGATTATGTACTAGACAATCATGAAGTCTTTCACAATTTTCTCCTGAATAAATATTAAAAAAAAAAATAAAAATAAAAATTTTGTGGT